ACTTTTATAATACACGCTATAAATCACAGCGATTCACAATCTCGATAACTGCTTTTCTGCCAAGCTTATATACTAACGAAGAGGGCATCTCGATCACACTCAGACTTCCTCGAATATTCGAGAAACTCATCACGCATGCCACCAGCGCTAACGCGCCAGCAGCGTCACGTGACTTCCACTGTCGTAACAATACTCATTGGTCCCAATCTAAATCTCAAACTTATGATTCATTCCAATATTTTTTTTTTCTGAAACATGTGCAAAGCTAGCTAAACAAGGGCTATCAGCTCATGGTCGTTCCTAATTTTGATGAGAGACTAGAGGAAAGGTAGCTAGACATTCAATGAAAGTAATATGTCTAAAATGCTTAAATGGAAAAAAAATAATTACATCATGTGAGGTATCTAGATGTACCTCAAAGTAAGGAGAAACCTTCTTTTCGCTTTTAGTTATAGGAAATTGAGTACCTTATATTAAAACAATTTCAGATCATCACCACGTTGTAATATAACGTATTCAATCCTCTCCATAATAGACCTGCACCAATGAAATAACAAAATATCAAAATTAATTTTAAATAATATCTCAGTTAATGAAATAATTAAATTTATTTTTATAGACTATCATTTTGTTGAATAAATGAATCCTGAGTAAATAACACAGTGAAACACTAGACACATTAATATCCTTTTACGATCTCAATCTTTGGCCCGTGTATATCAAAGTTTTAAATAGTTTGTTTTTGTTTTTGAATTTCGCGCAAAGCTTCACGAGGGCTATCTGCGCTAGCCGTCCCTAATTTAGCAGTGTAAGACCAGAGGGAAGGCAGCTAGTCAACACCACCCACCGCCAACTCTTGGGCTACTCTTTTCCAACGAATAGTGGGATTGACCGTCGCATTATAACGCCCCCACGGCTGAAAGGGCGAGCATGTTTGGTGTGACAGGGATTCGAACCCGCGACTCTCAGATTGCGAGTCGAGTACCCTAACCACCTGGCCATGCCGGGCCGGTTTTAAATAGTCCAGCATTGAAAATTAGCAAACACTTATGTTGTTGACAGTTCACTAAATAATATTCACAACTTACTGTATATTTCATTTGTGCATTATCTCAGTTAAACTATTAGTTGAACAGAAAAATTTTTGCCATTTTTCTCATTTCCAGAATATACTACTCATAATAAAAGCTGGGTTCTGATACCCGTGGTGAGCAGAGCACAGATAGCCCATTGTGTAGCTTTGTGCTTAATTACAAACAAACATAATAAAATGCTCAAGTCCGGGGCTCATTCCCTGCGGCGGACAGAGCGTATATATAGCCTTTTGTGCTAAAATAATAATAATAACATAATTACAAAATATACGCCACAAGGTTTTGGTGATGTAAAGCACGAGTTTACGTTAGTGGTTATCTTTTCTTCTCTTCGACACAAAATGGCTTCAAATGTTATATTGCGACTAATCCTGTATGCGAAGCGACGCTGATTGTCTTATGAGGAAAATTTTCTTAGTCTCGTGTGCTGAATGCTTGCGCCACCTCGTAGTCAGTGACGAGACATCAATCTTAACCAGATATTAGTTCTGTAAAAGATAATATTGAAATAGTGTAACGTGTAAGTTATGTTATTATTAAATTCTAAAATTTGATTATTTTTCGTAAATGAATGTAATTTCACACATTAAGTAAGGCATTTTTCGGTTATTTTTATGAAATTATGAATATAATAGGCATACAAATTAATTCGTTCAAATGATTTTAAGTCTATAGACAAGTATAGTATATGTTTAACTATAGTACATAATACATATATAATAAAATTAAAATTATAAGTAAATGCAGACATTACAATTATACAATGTTACTTTATTAGATTATTAACATTACAACAGCTAACACTATGTTATAGTAATTTATATTTACCGTAGGTTATCGATGTTTGTCACTTTGGAAGTGGGAGTGTAAACTGTAATCTGGGTGTATTCATAATTCAGATTCATCAACTCTGTGAGTCGTGACTTGAATTATAACCAACACAAGTGCTACTATTAAGAAATAACGTTGCAATGACGATCATTGTTTATTAGTATTAGTATTATCTAGTTAATGTTATATGTCAACACTAGTCATAACTACAGTATTGTAGTGTTGCTCTTATTACTACTACTACTAGTATTAATTTAGTAGCAGAAATACACTAGTACTAGTATAACCTTTAGATGCAAATCTGAAGTTAATTCTATGTGTCTTCACAGTTCTGATGCAAGTTTTACTAATTAGGTTGAGTTGTTTCAATAGTTATTTTTTTATAAAGTATCTTAAAAAGGACTCTGATAATTGTTATACATGGATTCTTAGTTACAAAGAACAAGATACCAACAATCTATTTTTTTTTACCAATTACTTAACTTAGTTATACTTGGAGAACACTGATAATATGAATTATTTTGGTGATTGACTTGCTGAAGACGTGAAGAAAATCAGGGATAAATATCATATGTTCAAGAAGTTTAAATTTACAGATATATGTAGGTTGAAAGATTTACTGAACTAAGGAAAATTAGAGGTTTAGTTAAAGAAAATTAAGAAATCCAAAAGGAGAAACAGCTGACTGATATTCAAAATACAACAAGGATTTTTTTTTATAATATCAAAGGTTAACAAAATGTTAAAATGGGAACCTGGACCATAAAGGATGCCAATGGCAAGGTTTTTGTTGAAGACTGTGAGATAGCTGAGATTTTAAGTTTTTGTCTTCTGTTTTTATAAGAAAAGATAGTAGAAGTATTCCTGAGCATTATAAGAAAACACTGGACTGTACCTGAATTATGCGGATATTAATCCCTTGGTGATATGTAGAAAGATTGAGAGATTTAAAAAAAGTTCCCTGGTCAGACAAGATTCTCCTCAGGGTTATAAAGGAGGTCAAAGATCAGATATAAAAGTCTGTCTCTCACATTTTTGGTAGGTCAATAGACAGTGAGCAGAAAACTGAGGGATGGAGAGTTGCTAATGCTACTATTTTCTTTTATAAGGGGTGATAAGTATTGCCTTGAAATTTGTAGGCTAGTCAGTCTTACTTCTGCAATGTGAAAAATTCTGATAAAAGAAGCTTTAGAAGAAGCATTTAGTGAAATATGATAAAAAATCTCCGCATGGATTCACCAAAGAGAAATCTTGCTTAATTTTTGTTTTTCTTCTCAAGGATGTTGCATATCTGAGCAGGGGAAAAGGTGTAAACTGGGTTTTACTTAGATTTTAAAAAATGCTTATGACAAGATAGTACACAGAAGATTAGCTAAGCAAATCATATTGATAGAGGTTGGAGAAAGATTAGATAATTGGATTGTTATTAATGGTTATTAAATATTGTTATCAATGAGAACCCTTGTTACTAGTGGAGTGCCTCAGGGGTCAATATTTTAATCTTTCTTATTTAAATTAATGCTATTGTTAGTGGCATAATTATTTAAGTTTATTGATTAAACTCTTAGATATTTCTAGTTGTATTGAGAATGTTGAGTTATTACAGAATGACTTGTGTCAAGTGTTAAGTTGGACAAATACTTGGCAAATAACAATTATATAACTAATACTTGAAATTGTCAGTATTTGGTAAAACTACATAACCACAGAATTGAGAAAAACAAAGACAATTGTACATTCCACAAATATTTCATTTATTACTACCATGATTTTGCCCCCTAAAGGCATCATTAGGTACAGTCTGAAACAGTTTGCAAAAAGAATCAATGTGCTTAACCAGTAAAACCACTTGGGAATTGTGACATTCACCTTAACGTAAGTGGTTGTATTTCTCAGCAAAATTTTACATGTTTGTAAGGATGATGGTGGTATGGGGCTGAATAGCTTGGGAATCTTGGAAGTAAATACAAGTTTGGAGGCAAATCCAGATAAAGTTCACAATGACTAGATCAACTTAAACTCTTGCCCACTTCTCATCCCCTTTGTCTCAAGGTGAGTGTCAAGATTCCCAACCAGTTTTCATGGGTTAAGTGTATATCTGTTTGAAGATATTTTAGTTTGTAGCTGATGAAACCTTTACAGGCAAAACCATGTTAGTAGTAAATAATTATAAAATATTTGTGAAACATACAATAGTCTTGTTTTCGTCAAGAACATTTAAATATATTAAGTGCAGGGTAATTTTTTTTAGTTATAATTTGGATTACACATTTAATACAGATGAGAACCAACTCGATAGTTGACTGCAGAAAAGGATTTTGATTCGTGGTGGATTAATCACTCAAACCACCAAAGCAATGATCTTTTACTTGTAGCAAAGCTAATAGAATTATGGGGTATATTTATGCGTAGTGATTACTAGTCATAAAGAGGTAAAAAATATATAAAAAATTACTAGTTAGGCCTCACTTGGATTCACTGTTTCAGTTTAGGTTTCTTTATACATGCATACAATTTAAAGACAACAAGGAACCTGTTGGTCCATCTAGACTATCCCATTCACTATACTAAACTTCAAATTATAAGTAAAACACTCAAATATCATTCAAATATTTATCACACCTTCTCTTCAACTCTTTTAAATTAACAGCATTCATCACAACTCAAGACAATCCATTTCAAAGGCCAACTACCCTGTTAGGAAAATAAAGCTGTCTTAGTTGAAGATGACTCCTACTCTGCCAAAATTTATAATTGTGACCTCTAGTCTAACCATTCTCACTATTAAATAAGAAATAGTTGATGGATCAATAATATTAATTCCCTTTATAATCTTAACCACCTCAATCAGATCCCCTCTAATTCTTCTAAAACAATTTTAGAGATCTTAATCTATCTTCATATAACAATCTTTCCATCCCAGGTGTCATCGTAACAGCTCTCCTCTGACCCATTTCCAATAGGTTAATGTCCTTCCTTAGTTAAGGAGGCCAAGAATGGACACTGTATCCCAAATATGGTCTAACCAGTGACCTGTACAATGACATTATAACTAATTTATACTTGTATTCAGTATTCCTGTAGATACAACCTAAAATATTATATGCCCTAACATTAGCCACAGCAAATTGCTTGAATGACTTGAGAGGCTTATTAACTAGAACACCAAGATATTATTCTTCCATAACAAGGTTAAGGCTATTCCCATCAAAATATACTTATAATTCAAATTGTGATATCCCATGTGAAATACCTTGCATTTATTATAATTAAGAGTCATTTGCCATTTATTCCACCAACTTGTTAAATGATCCAAATCCTTTTGTAACGCATCCTCCTCCTCCTCCTCCTCTTCATAGCCAGCAACATCCAAAACTTTAACATCATCAACAAATTTAAGTAATTTATTATTGATTCCATCATCTATGTAATTATGTAAATATAAAAGAACAAAAGGTACTAATACTGAGGTACCCCACTTATATCATGAATCCAGTTTGACGGAACTCCATTTATAAAAAACCCACTGCTTTCTTCCATCCAACCAATTTTCTATCCAATGAACAAATCAATCACCCATGCCTATAGAGATAACTTTTTTTTTAAAAGTCTTGTATGTAACACCTTATCAAATGCTTTCTGAAAATCCAGTTATGTCAAGTTCACACCTGTATCATACATAAGCAGTAACCTCTTCAAAGAATGTCAAAAGTTTAGTAATACAAAATTTTAAACTTTGTTAATTGACTTTGTAAAACATTTTGTATCAGACTTTCAAAACTTTTCCCACCAATGATGTAAGACTAATAGGTCTATAGTTACTGGGACAATTTTTATCACGTCCCTTGAAAAGATGAGTAACATTAGCTAACTTCCAATCTTCTGGCACCTGCTCACTATTCAAGGACTTACAAAAAATAGTAGCAAGTGGCTCACTTATCCAATTCTTAATCTTCTTAAACCCTTGGGGAACTTTGATCTCTTTAAACATTCCAATTTTTTCTTAACAAGCTTAGACTTAATGTGATCAACTTGTTCAATTGTGTTTCCACCTAACATTGTTCAAGATGAGGATTACTTAAATATTCATTTGTAAAAACTGGAGAAAAAGTATAATTTAATAACTCAACCATCCCATAGTAATCAGATATTAGGATTCCTGTATCATCTTTCAAAGGACCTACTCCCATCATAACATCTTGCTACCTTTAATGTATTTAAAGAAATACTTTCTGTTAATGTTTACATTTTTAGCCAAACTTTTTTCATATACCCTTTTTTGATTTCTTAATTTCCTGTTTGATCAATTCTCTTGATCTTCTATAATTTTCAAGTTTCCCATCATAGTAGTCAATTTAAATTTCTTAGATATTTGTGATGCTTTTCTTTAATTTTATCTTTGATACCCAATGAGAGCCAACCTGTTTTTTTTAATTGCGGACACTCTTTTTTTTTTTCTGTAAGGAACATGCCTGTCTTCAATACTTAAGAATTAATTTTTAAAATATTTTCACATTTGATCAGTATCCAATTAATACAGTTACCCATTTTACATCATATAATTCTTGTCTTATCCCTTTTTAATTTTTTTTTCAAACTCCCATTATTCCTTATCTCCATATGAAGCAAAATATCAAATCTAATTAAGCAGTGAGCACTTGCACCCATATGTTCCTCAGTCTCTACCCTATCAAACATATTAATAAATAGAAGTTAATAAATCTAAAATAGCATTGTTTCTACTAGGTCCCATAACCAAATGGTGAAGAAAACCATTCTGAACAGTTTCTAAAATTCTGTCTCCCTCATGAATTGACTCTAAAATTTCCCTGTCTGTATGCCTGAAATTAAAATCACCCATAATTATAATCTCATTAAAAACTTAATTATTTATCTCATTGTAGTTTCTTATTAATTTTATCATTTTCATCTAGAAGTCCGTAACAAATTCAAACTAAAAGCCTTCTCCCATTATAACCACTAACAGAAACCCAAACAGATTCAACGTCATTGTTGTTAACTATGATATCTTCAACTTAATAGGATGTAACTCAAATTTTATGTATAAAGCTACTTATTCCCCTCTTTTTTAGTACTCCTATTAAACAACATATGACCCTGTTTTTTCAAAACTTCCTGTTATCAGAATTGTCTAAATTTAACCAGGTTTCAGTTATCTCCATTCTATTAAAATCCTCTGTTCTAATGATTGCTCTAAAGTCATCCATTGTATTACTTATACTTTAGCATTACAATAGTAACAACTTACCATTAATACTACTTTGGTACTTTGTTCCTACAATATACTTTTCATTATTCTGACCCTCACCACTGTCTAGACCTAAGTTAATAACCTTTGCAAACAAACTAGGCCCTACCCTATTTAAATATAAACCATCCATTCTAAAAAGTTCCCTTTCGTCTTAAACTGATCCCACAATTCCATCCAGCCGACCTGTCCATCCTTACATATTAACCTAAGCCTATCATTCAGCCCTAGTGTGCTATTTTTAACTTCATTTCCACAATTATGTCTTGGCTGTATCTGTGACAGATTAAGTTATTATGGCCCCTTTTTAAATGCTTTTATCAGTGCCTTGTACTTAACAATTAGTTCCTCTGATGTACCTTTGTCTACGTCATTAGCCCCTATGTGCACTACAAAGACTGCATCACTACTATCATTCTTTACTATATCACTTGCTGTGTCAGTTATCCTCCACCCCCTGGCCCTGGATATCATAATTTAATTATTTTCTCCTTATTTACCCTATAGACTATGCTATCCACATTACCATACTCAATAATCAACTATAACAATAAATAACCTTTTTTTTCATTCCTATCTTTCTACTAGTTCATCATATTAGAACCTGCCAATTATAATTTAATTCACTACTAATAGCCGTATTTTAATTACCTGAAAGTCATCATTAGGTACTATATCCTTCGCATAAAAAAAATTAAAAAAAGATGTTGACTTATTAGAAAGGATTCAGTGGGCTACTAGGATGATACCAGGGATTGAAGAGTTTATCTTACAGAGACAAGTTAAGACAACTTTTTTGTTTTTGAGAAAAGAAGACAGAAGAATTTTGGAATTTCATCCTCTAAACTTGTGTTTTTACAATGGTGGCAGTTGCCATCCATTCCAGTTTATTCAAGAGATGATCTTATTGAAATGTACAAGATTATCCAGGAGATTGATAGGATAAAGGCCTCTGATTTCTTTGTGCTATAATATGAAGACATGATGAGAGGACACAAGTTTAACATTTGTAAAAGACAGGCTAGGGTCCAGTTAACAGAATTTTATTTTTCTGTGTACTTGGTTTATGCAGTGAGTTGTCCTTGGGAATAGTAGAGGCCAGCACGTTACAAGAGTTTAAGAGGAAATAGATTATTTCCTTAAAAAAAATAAAGAGTAGTTTTAAATTTTTACTTTTCTCAATGGACCAAATGGTCCCCTTTTATTCTATATGCTCTATTAATTTAGTTTAAACAGCCCTTATGTGCTTCCCTAAATACTCTTCATTTTCTGACAGGCTAAAATGAAGTCCATCATAGGTGAACAGCTCTCCTTCTGTGCCACAGATCGTTACACTGTAGTTGATTATTCATACAGTCCTGCTGTTTGCTCATTTATCCCCTGAACCCTGTTCAAAATTTCTTGTTCATATCTGAACCAAAAAAATTAATTTTTGGAAGAGATATATAACACTAAAGGAGCACTTTCTTGTACCTCCTGAATAACTGGAGATATGCCATTAATAACATCATTAGTTCTAACAAACACAAAGAAAATGTAATTGTTATAGTAAACCTACTCGGTTGAATTAACACAGGGTGTGAAAGCTTGTTAGTCTCAAAACATTATTGTGATTTGGAGATCTTTGGTTCAAACCCAAGTTAGAATGTTAAGACATCTACCCAAACAGTTAATTTCCCATTATAACAATTACATGGTTAAACAAGTCTCAGGCTGACTGTATAATCACTCATGGTTTGATTTACCCTCTACTTATTTTTATCCAAATATTCATTCTACTGTATGTGTATCATGGAAGACACATTATTTTCTCTGTGAATGAGAAAGAAAAACAACAATTTCAAGATGTATGTATACATTGCCTTAATAATAGTAATTGTTTATTTTTCTAATTTTAAGATCAGTGTATTCAAACTCAAATTTTCTGAAGTTCTTAATATGAAAAAATATTCCACTTTATATTTTTAAAAAAGTTATGCTTTTCACCTTACAGTAATTGGCAAATTATGATTTTATCTGATATTGGGGAAAAGTGTTCTAAAAATAAAATATTGAGTGAATTTCAATTTGGTTTGGAAAAAAAAATCGTTATGCTGCTTTAACTAATATTAGTTTTGATGAACTCATTTAAGGTTCTTACATTGTTCAACATAACATCATGACTGACAAATTGCAGCATTATGGTATCCAAGGGTTCAATATTTGATTTTAAAGTTATCTTTCACCTTAAGAAACAATTTACCATAGAAGTACATTTAAAAATAGCATGATTTAGAAATATCTAGTACTTGAATAAAGATGTTGACATTATTATTAGCTACAATTTTAAAATCTTACTAGTACTGATTAGTACTTTTTCTAGATTATGCAGTAGCCATTTTATTGATAACTACATATACAACTATGATTTTCAGATATATTAATCTTTGTAACAGAAATATGTTGCATTAATTTATTACTTTATATGCTCACAGTAATTTTTATGTTAAATAATTATGTTCCTAGCTTATGTCTGTTTTAGTTATTTTATTTACTTTTTGTATAATAATTAAAAGTTGTAGGTTTTTCCTTCATTCTTTTCCAATCCAAGTTGGCCTTTCTGACACATGGCTCCATCTTCTTTGTTTTGTTTGCTGTATTTAATTTTTATATAAGAAAATTGTCTTCTCTTTATAGTGTGCAAGTTAAACAAAAATCTGATTTCAATTCTGCATATATAATGTGAATGATGGAGAGTCAAGTGCTGAAATAAAAAATTTTAAGATTTCACCAAAAATCATTTGGCATCCTGGAAATGTCTGGAGTTCATTATCAGTTTGATACTCGGATTCGAAGGCAGCACGTGCCGTTAGTTACTCATCAGGTAAAAACATGCATATATATATACTTATATATATTTATTTATTTATTTAAAAAGCTTAGACATATGAAATAAAGTATTAAAAATTGCTTAATATCTTAGGTTGTGAGTTTTCATATAAACAAAATATTATGAAACTTCTTGAGGAATGGAAGATAATGTACTAAAAACAGAAAAAAAGGAATAAATACTTATCCTATAAAATAATTTTTTTTGTTTAAAATTTTTGAATGTTTTCTTCACTAATTGATATAGTACAGTGTAGTAGACCACTTATTTAATCATTTTTAAAATTTTCTGAATGATTTTATTGAGATGAACACTGAAAAAGGAGGGTTTATTGTAGTTTTTCATATAAAACCTAAATCCATTTTGATTCTAAAAAACAAACTTTGAGCTGTCTTGTAAAATTCTATCAGTGATGAAAAAACACAAGTGGATAATAGAAAGCTTGTGAAATCATTAACCCTAACTATGCTAGAAAAACTCCAGAGATGTATATGTAAATATAAATTATCCAGCAAATTAATATACTTTATCTGATTAACAGAAATAGTTTTATTGTTTGAACAAAGCAAGATTATCTGCATTCTTAAATTCCAAACTTCTCTACATATATTAAACTACTGTTGGCATTTTCTACCATAAATGTCAGGAGAGAGAAAGCCATTCATTATATTGAGGTCACTATAAGTTATTAAGCAGTGAAAACCAAACACTAGTATAATTGAAAGAACTTTTTTGTATACATATGTAACAAAATCTTGAAAGAATAGAAATATTGTTACATATAAGTAGAGTACATGTAACACATCATATTTCTGGCTAGAAACAATTTTGCTGATGAACAATGTTCAAGCTACCATAATTAACCTTGTTGGTCTACAAAATGTAAAAATCGTATTATGAACAGATATGATATCCAAGCTCCTGATGTTCCCCCAAAATTTGAATCATATCACCTGTAGCTTTTTATGCCGCAGTGAAAATGTATTCTTAAATCTCTCTCCAGATTATGGAGCTAGTTGGCCCTGTGATAGAGCTCTGGGTATTGAAACTGGTTTAGAATCTATGTGATACCACAAAACATTCTCTGCAGTTTCAGCTGTTATTCAGCTTTGCTAAGGGATGATAGGGTGCTGCTGACTGGCTATCTTCCCTCTAGTCAGTAGTTCAAAATTAGGGATGATGGCAGATAGTAAACTTGCTATAAGTACATGATACAAATATGTTCTAGATTAATTTCTTGAGATGCAAATGTTATTAATGATTGGTGCTAGATATAATTTTGTATTATTAATCTTTGCCCTAAAAATATGATTTGTAGAATGAGTTAAATAAAACTGAAAATAACTGCAGTTCACTTACATAGTCTACTTTGCAACATAATGGTCATTTTTAATGAACACTGATGATATAAATAGTGCCTAGACCACTACTTTGTTTGTTGTTTCCCAACTGACCTGATGAACCTTAGTAGTGGGTGAGAGACCACATTGGCATATTCTACTTTACTCTAATTCACAAGTTCTTAGAATTCAGGTTACACATTGCTATACCCTTTTCAATATAAGGATCGCCTGAATATATATAATTCTGTTTAAAGTCTTGCATAAAATGACTAATGTGTGGACTCACTATCTTTAGAGAAGAATCACTCTAGCAGTAATTTTTTTATGAGGAAGTTCTCTTCTTTATAGACTATAACATGCAAAAAAGTCATTTTAAAGTCATCATGCTCTTAACTTAGTTTCTTTAAAATTTATAAACAAATCACATCACGATTAGGAGTTTAAATTGCCAAAGTTTCTCCAAAACAACATTTGTCTCCAATTGCCCATCTTTACAATTGCAAAAATCATTTAAACATAATATTATATAATATCATTCCCATAAGCATTGTTCAAAGGTTCATTTCATTGTGTATCCTCAACCTTTCCCATGGCTTGTTTGCAAGGGATATTAATGCAGCTGTAGGGCAACTTTAAACTTGAACTAGACAGTGGAGTGAAGACCAGGATAAACTGAATGTAGAAAAAATAAGATGTAGAGAAAAGTGTAGTGTAGGAACAAAGTACAAAAGTAGTTGTAAGAGTACACTAAGTTATTACTATTGTAATGCTAAAAGTATATGAAATAAAATGGATGACTTAGAGAACTGGTTGGAATGTAATATTTTGATATAATGGAAATAACTTAAACTTGGTTAAATATAGACAGTTTTGATGACAGAAATTTCATTGAACTATGCTGTTATAGGTTATTTAATAGGTTTAGTATACAAAATAGAGAGAGAGGAATGGATTGATATGTAAAATGTGAGTTACATCTTGTAGAAGATGAAGATATCAAAGGTAATAGCAAGAAGATTGAAATTCTCTCTTTTAGTGAATATGGGAGAAGGCTTTTAGGAATTTCTTACATACCACCAGAAAAAACTGATGAAATTAATGGGAATTTTACAATGAGATTAAGTTTTCAGCTGTAAGTGATGTCATTATTATGGGCTATCTTAATTTCATGCATATACATTGGGAAATTTTAGAGTGAAACCATGAGGGAGACATGTTTTTAGAAACCACTTTGGGTGTTTTTCTTCACTGTTTGGTCAGGGAAACTATATTAGGAACAATGCTATTTTAGATTCATTGTACAAAAATGGTTGAGAGGATGGAGATTGGGGAACATCTGGTGACAAGTGATCATTTCTCTATGGGGTTTAATGTTTTACTGCATATGAAAATCAGGGGATAATGAGATTTTGGTTACAAATATTGAAAGGATGCAACAAGAAGTATCTGCTGTGAATTGAGCAACTGAATTAATTGAAGACACTAATCAAATCTAGAAAATATTTGTAAATATTTCTTTGAAATATTCAAGATATATGTGTTCCTTATCATGAACAAAGAATTCCGATATGGTACATTACCTCTTCTCACATAAATAGCTATTCTCATTCAGTGCTGTCCTGTACATGCAAAAAATTCTTTTCGCATGCCACAAGCCTTGAGCTCCCATATATCTGACAATCAACTGGTTCAAATATATCTTGCATGTAAATCATCATGTGATGACCCTCCACCAATAAGAGTGCGACACTCTCCTGATGCAGGTGACTCCCTGTGTTCAATTCTACCAAACTATCACTTCTTGTTTGACAGTACGCATGTCAAGACATTTTTGTTGTGCTCTTCAAATTTGTTCAACTTCATGATTTTTTGTTGTTATTATTCCGATTTGTCTTGTTTTATTGTCTTGGATTATTGTCTTGTTTTCAATAGTTAACATTTTTTCAGATAACTTATTTTCCACGTTTTTCTCTCTCTCTCTCTCCTCATTAAACAATTGTGTTTGATTTTCATTTTTACACAATGAGTTCAGAAGTTTAAGTTACTACTTCGGAGATAATACCTTCTACCAGCACACTCACTCAGACTACAGGTAGAATGACTTGTCTTTCAACTTATCGGCTATCATCTGCCGTGAGATTGATCGTCATATGAGTCAACATGCTTCTCCTGATCCTGCCCCTATTCTTCCTGAGCATGCTGGACCTGTGTGGGTCGAGGAGAATCTTGACAGTCTTTTTCCTCCCTGATTTTGCCATGTCTTCCTATGCCCCTACTGCAGAATCAGCTAGGCCTAATATGGTTTTTTTAGACATGATTTCTCAAATATGTTCTACTTTATCTATTTCTCCAATTTTGTATGATCCCTGTCCTTCCTTGTTGCATGATACCTCCTCCTCCTCTCAGTATTTGGTTTTCTTCCCCTTCCCTGGATATTAGGGTTCATGCTAAGTGTTTTGTTTCTCATATGGTTGAGGGTGCCAACATGCCTCATCTTTCATGGGCTTTGGATCAGTTTGCCTTGGCCTACCATCTGGCAGAATGCCCATTTCTTGATTCTCAACAGTTAGAATCAATTTTACCTATGTGGGGGTGTGGACCCTGATCATCCTGCATGTTTATCCCACACCCCATTTTCCCACCTTTGTCTTACCCTATTTACTCTCCTACGGTACTTGTCTACTATTCTCCTCCTTTCTGAGTGATCCAGAAAAATCCTGAGGGATTTTTGGGGGATTGCCTGTCCCTGATTACCTCCACATTGGCACATTTGTTTTCTTTGCCTCTAGCCTTACACACATGGTTTTTCTGTTGTTGCAATCTCCTGAGGAGAGACACTGCCTTGTCCCAGGTTTATTTACTGCCTACTTATCTCCAGGACTTATGTGTGGCCCCTTTTCTACAGCAGTATGTTTTTTAGTAATATTCCTGAGACTTTGGAATTTTGTGTGGTGCAACACCAAACTATCCTTTCTTCTTTGGTGGATCATTTGTCTCATTCTGATCCTATATGTGCCCCTATTATTGTTTTCCGCCCAGCTTCTTCCCATTCCTTACCTTTTTCTACCTCCAAGGATTCCTTATCTTGTCATTTTATTCAATGCAGATGAACATGTCACCAACAGTACCAGAGCTTTAAGGCCCAGTGAGGTCTCATTTGATCAATTTTGTTCCCTTTTGTAGACTTTTCATCACAGATGTGTGGGTTATTCGTGTTTCGTTCTGAACAGGAATCTGCCCATAATACTCATCTGGAGGCATCTTGTGTGAGTTGGTTAATCAAATTACAGAAGTCATTCCTTATACCTACCCAATGTCTTGTCCACTTGGGTGATTTTTTCAACACACATCTCAGTTGGGCCCAACCTTCTCCTCTTCGACTTTGTGTGATGGAGCTTTCAGTTCTCTACACCCTTACTGCTCTCTCTCTTACAGTTAGCGAGGTTCTATCACTTTTGGGGATATGGTCTTCCATGGAAGCCCTTATCCTCTTTGGTGCATATGAGGTCTCTTCAGGGCTTAGGGACATAAGTTGATCAACAGAAAACTTCAGTGGCTTGGGAGGGTAATTCCTCCTCCTTGGCAATTTCCCTTCCTTCCATTTCTCACATTTATCCTTGGTCAGATCTGGATAGGCTATTATGTCCTGTC